AACATTTAACTTAAAAACTGTACTTTCGGGGTTAAACAAATGTTCATAATTAATTTAACTAAATGACAAGTTAAGGAGGGCATGGACAGTTGTCTTTTTTGTATCGAAAAAATATTGACCCATGAGCCTAAATATAGAACCGAACCCAGGCCTTTTTGGATCTACAGCTCAGACATACATCACAACAGAAACATCATTCATTATTCATAGGTCACATGAAGTTGGACTTTACATGGCTGAACTGGTATTTTAGTAACTATCACAATTTTAATTAACTGCAGTTTAGATTTTATGAATCAGCAAAAAATTTCAAATCTTTTGCAAATCAACTCTTATTATTACCACAACTTTTCTGTTACAGATGCAGTTTATCTACCAAAACAGACATCTTATTCTTCTTTTCATTCAGTGTTTCTGTCACTGCTTGTGGTTTTCAATCAAATCCTCCAAAACATAGAAACATAAAAATTCACATATGTGAACATCTTTCTCTGACACTGAGTTTTAAAGACTTTAAGATCTGACTGTGTTTTCACAAAACCATTTGTATGAAACAAACCTTTTTGGTCAGTGCTTCTCTAGTCGGGGAGTGACACACACAGGTGCATGGTTACCAGGGTGTCCACAATGAGCTACTGGCAACAGCTTTAAACGTTTCTTTTGATCCTGGTTCTGTTTGCACTTCGTATAGTTTATCAATCATAATGTAGGCAGTTTTTCTTAGTTTAGATAATCACAAAGTTAGACTAGAGGCAGCAGCAGGATTAAAACTTCAAAATTTCTCATGGTGCTTTCTACTTTGATTATTCAGGTAAAATTTCACTAGTTAAAAGGTGTTACAGCCCTGTTTAGTCAGCTTTAACCGAACTCTGGTTCGTTTATCTTAATAAGTCCAGTTCATTTGGGGAGTTGTGAATGTGTAATTGAAGTCTGATGTGGACCAAAAAAGCTGGTCTGCCTAAAAACAGAGGTATTGGTTTGGATAAAGTGAACTGTGGTGTGGTTCAGTGCATGTATTAATGACAAGCATACTATATTAATTCTGAGTAATAAGAGTAATAAAGTTACTCATAGCTTGTAAATACCTCGTGGACGTCTGTAAAAGGCGACCATCRCCGCTGCAAAGTTGGACGCACTCCTACAAAGTGCACTCCGCCTCACACGGAGCCGGCTCAGCCGACTTGTGTAAAAAAAACAGCATTCWCCATGGTTCTGCTCATCTTCCTCTCATGTTCATTGTTGAAGAGTGTTTGCTTGACACATTTGCCAAAGACAAACRAGAAATTCCACAACTTCTACAGCCAATTTTTGTTTATATTTTGTGAAGAAGGAAGTTATGCTGAGTGTCTTCTTCAGAGGTTTTTGTGTTGTTTTCTCCAGCAGTTCTTGGTACAGCACCACCACAGGTGAGGAGGTGAACAAATGTTGCAATTTTGGTCTCCAATCTAACCGAGTCTACCAGACTATCAGATGTGAAAACACCTTTAGTGGATTACATAATGCTTTGATCTATTAGACAAATGTGTACATTTGTGATTTTTGAGGAATTTAATTATGGCCAAAGCAATGTTGTGTGATTAATGGTTGACCTTTACATTTGACCATCAATTTTTTATCTATTTAACAAAGAGATGTTTGTACTACATGTGATAAATTTCAACCAAGTAGACCGAGATACAATATTCACAATAGAGTATTYAGGTCTTCAGCCAAGGTGGTCATTAAAGTTAAAAAGCAGACAGAAATCTGAGTTTTATTTGTCATTGAAAAGAGGACCTGGATAASAGAAATGGCCGTTCTGAGAGTGTCATTCCTCAAGTTTTGGCTACAGTCTCTGTTTTCCTCTCACTTCCTCCAACACAACACAAATGTTCGCTTTCCTGCCAAGGCGAAAATAAGGCCAAACAGGAGCATCTGCCCAACRAGGCACTGAGCCATATTTCCATGCTTAGCTAAGCAAGCTCAGCCAAATCCATGTTATCAATAACAAATAGGACAGACATAACAAATTATCCATCCCTCAGTCCTYCACATGCGCTTTACACACAAACTCACTTGGGTAACCAGATTTTATTTTGAAATTCAATCATTTCTTTGCACTGTCCTGATGCATCTCAGTAATCCAGGTGGAAAATTCAAAACAAAAAAATAAGTAGTTCCTCTGGACGGGTTCTTCTTTAATGAAACATTTTGTCTCTCCTCCAAGAGACTCTGAGAGGAGTATCAGGTGAGCTCAGCCTTCGAAGCTCCACACGGTGGACAAACAAGTTTGTTCACATGTAAAGAGGACCATCAGCCTAACAATAGATCATTAGTGCCTTGATTAATTCTAGGGTTTCCCCTACATATAAGCTGTTTTAATACTTAAACTTCTGATGAAATCTCCCAAAAGTTAACTTTATTTTGATACTAAGATTTTTAAGTAGAGTTTGTAAATTCTGAGATTCACTAATTTACATTTCAGCATGGTATTTAGAGCAAAAACATCTGAGAAAACCTCTTGGGGCTTAAGAAGTTAAAGTAAAAAATGTTAAATATTAACAAAAAATTCCAYCTGTTTTTCAATTACTATATTAAATACAGTTTATAAGAATATATTGAAAGGTCTTTTGCCATGCTCATCTTTCTGATCTGTCAAGTTTTAGATTTGAAAATAAAGGAAATTTTAAAGTACCCACTGTGAAACACATCCCAACCTGGCTCCATTATGCCTACATTTTAAGACAGGTGTACAAGAAATCTAAAATAGCCACTTGTGAACCACTTAAAATTAAATTAGGTGATCAGAATCTGATAAATATAACTTTGACACTCAAATRCTGTGGACATTCTTATAATAAAGCCTAAATGAAAACAGAAAAGGGAATTAAAGCACATTTATTTATTTATAAATTTGCTGTCCCATTTTTAGAGATATTTTTTGGCAAGAATGTCTTTCATTTTGCTACAGCCATCCATCGCTCTGATTTGTTGTTGTKCTGGGTTAGWTCCTRCTCTCAGCACTAAACTTGCAAAAACCACCCAGGAAACTACAGGTGGTAGTTCTCCTGAGGTTAGTGATAGTGACATTGTGGTTTGTTCAGTCTGAAGCTAGCATAGCAATGGACAAGTTTGTGACAAAAAAGACCAAATGAACYGACCAGCAGCCCTGCTATGAAGGACACTGCGTWAAAAAMCTCCTGGTCAAGTAAAATCAGGAAGTTTGAGGCTGCATACATTAAGTATGGCTTTACAGCTATTCAATAGTGAATAAAAGTGAGAAGAAAAAAATCATTCTAAAAAGTTGGTTTTTCAAAACAGTCAGAGGAAGCGGGAAGCAGCGCGGCTGAGAGTTCAAAGGAAGGGCAAAAATTTGCTCAACATAAATTATCTGGACCTGGTTCAGGTTCAACCTCCAGCGGTCTTAGGAGGAGCATGGCAGATGTCACGGTCGGACAGCGGGGCGACGGGAAGTCAGTGCGAACCCCAGTGGGAAGCACAGAGTAAAGCCCGCTGAGTCAATGGACCTCGTTTCTCCTGCGGTCATAGCACAATGATGTCTCAGTCGTACAGCGGGGTAGCGCTGTGGGAAAGGGTCTGACGGATAAATTAAAAAACTGTAAAACCATAAACGGGACCATTGTCACGCCGCCGGAGCGCACACAGAGTAAAACACATGTGGAGTGCAGAAAAGGTAATCAGCAAAGTGTGTAGAAAGGAGTTAATACAAGCAATTTGTTTTACCACCTTAAAACGAAGCAGGTGATTGAATAGCAGTAATGCAGCTGACTGCAAGTTCCAAACGCAACATGCAATGGATGCAGACATCCATTATATTCAAGTTATTGTGTGTGTGTGTGTGTGTGTGTGTGTGTGTGTGTGTGTGTGTGTGTGTGTGCGTGTGCGTGCGTGCGTGTGTGTGTGCTTGTGTTTTGATTTAACCAGGTAGGTCTCCCTTAAAATGAGATTTGTAAATTCTTCCTTAAAAATCTCATTTTAAAGGGAGACCTACCTAATGATATTGTTAAGGAAGAACTTCAAAATCTCATTTTAAGGTCTCCTTTAAAGTAGAGATTTTAAGGGAGACCTTAAAATTTCCCTTAAAAAAGATTTTAAGGTCTAAAATTTTTTTAACACATACATATTCATACATTCCACTCAATTTGTATGTGATTTATTTATTTTCTATTATAAGTCATGATCTGAATTTTTTGCCATATCACACATTCGTAGAGCTAAGGTACACGCTGAATGGGTTATCAGTCCATCACAGGTTCAGATAGAAACAAACGGGATGACCATTCAGGATCACATTCACACCTAGTGACAGTTCACAACTGGTAAAGAGAGAAAACTGACGTAAGCATGARGRGAAAAAAACAAACTCCCTTGTCTCCCTTGTTTTTAAAGGACACAAAGTCCTAAACGTGCTCATCCTTCCATGTGCATCTGACATGCACATACAGTATGAGCATGTCTGCTCACCAACAGGGACACAGAAAACTGAGGAGAGTGTGGAGTACCAGGCCATCTATGAGTTTAAAATGCAGGAAAGGAAAAGTCCTTACATCAACAATCGCACAGCAGTCAATTGTCCCCCCAGGATACWAGAACACAAGAACAGATGTCCTTCATTTGTCTAAAAAACCAGAAGGTGAGAGCTGAATTAAAACTGAAAAACAAAATATGATGTTCAGGTCATGAGAAACGAATAAATATTCCAGGAGCAATCCTACACACGTCTGAGTGCATCCTAGGAACACAACCAAAGCTTTCAGTTTTTTTTTCCTTTTCTTCACACCACTACTGAGGAAGCAGCAGGAAAGGCAAAGAGTTGCTACAAATCTTATGAAATTATACGTAAAGCAAGTTCTTAGAACCACAAAGAAAAGTGAGACTTACTCTGGTCAGATACATCTCACCAATTATAAGCACTGAAAACAGAAAAGCACATGACTCTCCTCTGGTAGTTAGAGTCAATAAAGCAAAGGTCAGGGGGRAAAAAAATCAAGGAATCTGACCTGCATTTTGCTTGGTACTTCCCTCTTAGTTCGACCTTGAAAGAGCCACTGCACCGTCACTGTCCGTCCCCTGGGCAGCCCTGGAGGACACAAAACAGGAGGGAGATTAATGTGATGTGAGAATGCTTCCATAGGCTGGGTAAACTTACTGCGCAGCAAAGTCACTATGTCAAAAAACAAATTAAATAGACTGCAACACACTCTTATGAAAGCCATTCCTTTTTTAGGAAAGTGGTTCCAGATATATGGCATCTGTCTTTCTAATAACTATATTTGGTCTAAACTCTAGTTTTAGGTTTTTCTGAGGATTTTTTATTGTCATTTTAAAAGAGGAATTTGGTTACTGAGATTTACCAGCTAGAAAGAAAAAAATGTTTTCAGTTTACTGGGAAAATACCAAAATAATTAAGAAATTAAGCTTTTTTGTTCTAAATCCTTTTTGCTATGGCTCAAAAAAGAGCTTCAAAAATTCTTTAAGATCATACATCCATTATCTACAGTATATCTGCTTCTTCCTTTCACGGTCATGGAGGTCACTGGTGCCCATATCCAGCTGTGTGAAGGACGTGATACACCCTGGACAGGTATCCGGTCCATYACAGGGACACAGAGACAAACGAAACAAATAAATACTCTCTCACTCACACCTAGGGACAATTTAGAGTTCCCAATTATGYTTTTGGTCTGTGGRAGGAAACTGAAGTACCTGGAGAAAACCCAAGCATGCATGGAAAGAACATGCAAACTCTACTCAGAAAGGGCCCATGCTGGGACTCAAACCTTCTTGCTGAGAGGCTCTACCAACTGAGCCACCGTACACTGCGATCTTTAAGATTATATCTCAAAAATTTCCATTAAATGATCCACTGAGTAGGTATTCATTCATTCATTTTTATAATTGGTATTATTATTATTATTTATTATCATTGTTGGTGTTGCTGGTGGAGAAATGGTTAAGCYTGGTGCTGTAGCCCTGCATAGACAATAGACATTTTAAAATGGACTTATTTTCAAACCATGCAATAAGCTCCTAAATAACAGGACAATTTATTATGTTTGACTGGAAGAACAAATATGTTAGGTGGTGCTTTCTCTGTATTTCATACAAAACAGAATCAGCTTCAGTCTGACCTGTCCAGCCTKTGTGTGGGTTTGGGTATTTTATGCTATACAGCTGAGTGATTGTAAGAGGCTTAGAAGCATTTTCATTTGCTGCGGGGAGAGGAAGGGTCTTTAAGCAAAGATAAAGAAAATGTGACACAAATTGTTTCCCAGCAGCATAGCTGTATCCATCCATCCATCACCAGGCTCCCATATTTTACACACTGCAGCTGAACCAGTACAAGTAACTGACATCATGTCTGTAAGCACATACTGTTTATAAAAAGGATTTATTTGTACACCATCATGGAGCAAATAGGAAAGTTGCAAATAACATCTGTTTGTTCATCTTATAAGCTGAATAACTTAAAAAAAAGAGAGGTGCTGACTTCCATTTTGGTGTGTGGCTGAATCTAGATGTAAGAAAGGTAAGTATTGAAACTAAGGTTAGTGCGTCAAAATCCATGATGGTCACAGCCATGTAAACTGTCCACCCTAACCATTTCAGGAAATTATGCTTTCTGGTAGTGCTGGGCGGTAAGCCCCAAACTTTATATCCAGTATTTTCAACAATTATACCGGTATCACTGTATTTGACTATATTTTTATTTTCATCACAGCTCAGCTCAGCTGATATTAAAATGTAAAAACTTTGCTTATTGATTAGCAAACCATGGTCAGCTGACGTTACTCTTTTTCTGCAACACAAAATATTTCTTAACTTTTTTTTTTACCGTACCTCTGTCTGTGTCACTGTTTCCTTCCTCTACATGTCTTTTCTTCTCTGCCTGGTTGTAGACAGTTGTAAGAAATCACTGGGTTATAAGGATTCAACTACACTCTCAGAACTTAAATGTTCTGAGGAAATTATTTACCACGGGATCTTCTATTTTCGGAACAAATATTTTCTTTATGCAAAATTTAGTGACAAACACACAATAAGATGGGCGCAGTCAGTGAGTTTGATCTAACAATAAATGTGATCATTTATTTACAGAATCAAAACAAATCCCTAATGTATTGTGAGGTTAATTTCCTATAAAAGGTTTAACAACAAACTTTGAGGTTCGGATGTTAATAAACCATTTGTTTGCTGCACTTTTTCTTAAGTTTTGGCAGGGCATAAGTTTAAGAGAAAAGAAAGGAGGAAGAAGATGATCAGTTTTTAACTTTATCCTTAAAAAATTGTAAATTTTAAACAGAAAGGGCAGATGTCTCTCAACGCATGCAGCCAGACACAGGTACGCTCAGTAATGGGCAGCCATTACGTTGACCAAGAGTAGAGGAGTAATCCACCATGGATCAAGTCCAGAAGATCATCCAGTTGGGTAAATAACTCTCAGAACTTCACCTAGTCAGACGTTTCCAGGCCCACATTACTCTTTCAGCATCTCCTGGTTGCTTTCAATCGAAGATCAGAGACGAAGCACTTCTCTGTATCCGTCTTAAAAATAGAATACTTCCACAATGGAAGTTTCAAAACAAAAGTTTCTCTGTGAGTAACTTTGGTAAGCTCAAAATAATAGACAAGACTGAGTGATGGTCTGGTCTAGGCTGAGAGGTTCTCCTGTTGACTCAATGGGCCAAACCTCGCAGCCGAACGCTGGTTCTCCTCTCTGGAGAAAACAGTTGCTTTCTCGTTGAAGCTGAAGAGCGTTCGCTTCACAACTGACTATTGTTAGTTCAGACCAAAGATGTTAGCTTAAAAGATAGGAAGTGTTATTGAGCACTGCCAGGTGTTGTTTTTCTTAAACACAACTGTTGACTTCTGCACTTTAAAGAACCCTTAAAGAAGTATTTACTGAAAAATTAAAAATGAATTGTTTCATTTAAAACATTCATTATGATTCAGACAAAAATAATTATAAAATGTTTCATAATAAAGCTTAAGCATAACGCAAAGTTTAGTTAAGTAAAATATTTCAACAGCAAAATCTATAATCAATTACTGTGGTTTCACAGTTAAAGTTCAAGCAGTGATTTACATCAAGGCACAATAAAACATTGTAATAACACTCTTTTTAATCTAACCAATTTATGTCATTACTTACATTTAAAATCTAATTCCAGTTCAAGCAGAATAGCGTATTGTCAACATAATTA